AGTACTTACTGCATTATAGTGACCCCACAATCACAACCAGTGATAGGTAGCAGACATACATATTTGTGGGCCAGGCACCATCAAATTGATAGGTCCTACAAAAACTCTTCATTTCTTCTGTGCTTTCACATTCAAATTTGTGGTAAAGCTTATAACTACCAGCTGAATGAATGAATGAATATATGCAACATGAAACCTCCCTACAGTCCTGTTGTTCATCAGCTAATACAGATATGCTACTGGTTTTAACAAAATATTTGTATGCCCTATTGCTGTAACAATAAATATTCTTAATATCATTATAGAGATTTTTTTTTCTAAGTGCCCAAAGCACATAATTATTTTTATTTACTTCAATTTATGGCTAAGTTCTGATATAAGCTACTGACTTCCTGTCTCATGCATTATTGCTATAATTTCAGCTATTTCTTTCAATATCACATAAATGCCTGCTTTCTGGATTTCAACATTATCCAAGCACTGACAACCTCAAGAAACTTTAAAAACTGGCCTCCAGAAAGCAATTCTCATGAAACCGAGCTTGAAAGAATGGCACTTCAACATCAAGTATCTAAAATGTGCTTTTGAATAACCAATTCAGGTCCTCATTAGACATCAAACACAATAACAATCTTTCCCCCCAGTTCTCTCCATTCATTGGTTGTCCAAGGTGGTGGAAAAAAAAAAAAAAAAGCTACTGGACCATTTCCTGCCTAGCCATTTTCCCCCTCAAAATCTATTTGTAACTGATCATTTCTAACAATCAGCTGTCATTATATAATCTCTCCATTCATTGGTTGTCCAAGGTGGTGGAAAAAAAAAAAAAAAAGCTACTGGACCATTTCCTGCCTAGCCATTTTCCCCCTCAAAATCTATTTGTAACTGATCATTTCTAACAATCAGCTGTCATTATATAATCTCTCCATTCATTGGTTGTCCAAGGTGGGGGAAAAAAAAAAAAAAAAGCTACTGGACCATTTCCTGCCTAGCCATTTTCCCACTCAAAATCTATTTGTAACTGATCATTTCTAAAAATAAGCTGTCATTATATAATCTAGCTCTGTTATGTTCAAACCAAAATTAAAAAGCCATCTTATACTCATCTGAATTATGGGCCCACCATGGCCAATGTGGGATTGAGATTTTGACCCTGCTCTTACTCTTGTAGGATCCAAACAGATACTTTTGACTCCTGAACCACCCGTAGCACCTTCTCCAACTTGGTGTCCTTTGATCATGATGTCAGAAACTGACAGTTGTAACCTGGAGGACATCAGAATGGGAAAAGAATCTGCCTATAGGAAAATGCAGAAGACTGAGGACCCTTTCCCATGGTGCATAACTTTGTTCAGGGGCACAGCTAGGGTGAGTCAAGAGCAGGGTTTGTTGAAAGAGGAGGTTATTTCTGTGCTGGGGGCAGGGCTATGGTAAAACTTTGGGGCTGGGACGACATCCATGACTTATGACCTTGTAGCACTCCTGGGATTCTCATGCAATTCTTTGACTTGTAGCACTAGGTTAGAATGCAAACCAAAATGCATTTCCATTCTAAACTCTCCTATTCACTCATGTCCTAAGAGATGTTTTAAATAACAATTGTTTATTGGTCACTGTTATTCCCCACAGGGGAACTATCAATATTTTCCTGACCTTCTTACGGTTTCTGTGGTTTCCATATAAGATGCAGATTGGGAAGAGCTGCTTATGATATTTTAACCCTAACTCCTTCAGTAACACATGAGTTGCACCACTGAATGAAATAGGGCTACTGTTAACACACCTGGATTTTCTGCTTCAGTTGAATATGCTGAAAGCTTGTGAGTTAACCTAACTATATTTAGAAGGAATCTGAGGTATAGCAGTTTGAAGTAAGTATGTATGTATGTATGTGTGTATGTATGTAGCACTCAAGTCAGTGCTGATTCCTGATGACTGCCTGGACAAGTCCTTGGAATTTTCTTGCCAAGGTTTTTGGAAGTAATTTGCCATTGCTTCCTTCCTAGGGCTGAGACAGAGTGACTGGCCCAAGGTCACCCAGTTGGCTTTGTGACTAAGGTGGGACTCAAATTCACAGTCTCTGGGTTTCTAGCCTGATGCCTTAACCACTATGCCAAACTGGCTCTGGAAATAGATTAAACCCTGCTTTATGAGGCTTAAAAAAAGGGCTAAATATGTCATGAGAACCTTGCCTATTCAGAAGGATGAAAAAATTACCAAATGCTTGAGCAGATCCCTTCACAAGAACAAAACAGGAAGATTTATTTCTTTACTCGTCATACCTGTGTTTCCAAAAGCCAAATGTTTACATGACTTTAGACCAGACTCCACACATAAATACATCATTCTTATCAAAACTGTAGGGAATGGGAAACGATTCTGTGAAATTTCAAAATATTATTTATGTAAATATTTGCTGCCTTTTATGGAGCAACCTTTTTAAAATTATGAGATCTCTGGTCTACAGGGCTTAAAATCAAGAGTAACACAAGAGAGAGCAGAGATCAAGTGAGAAACAGATAAACAGAAAACTATTTTAGTTGCTTGTAGTAATATTTATAATTATAGTAGCATAGAAAGATTAGAGGTTAATACCAAAGCTTAATATAAAAATCTTGTTTCTGACAATTGTTTTGAAGGAAACAGAAGAAATAATATAACAATGGCATTCTAAGAGGCAGTTCCAGGCACTGGAAAGGACAAAATCATTTGATGGAGCAGGAGACCTTTGGAGAGCTGAAGTATGAATAAGTATTACAAATGCACAAAGGCTTAGATGCATAAAGGGAATATGGACGATTGTTATCCAACACAACAGTTTTTACAAGGGTACCAAAATGGGGGTATACATTAACAGATCCACCAGTTAATCCAAGATAAACACATGCATGATTTGTTTCCAGTCCACAAGCATAGTTGAAAGGAAAATGTGCAACCTTCTGTTGCACTCACAATTTCCCTGGATCAAGCACATTGTTTTGGGACTGAGGTGGCTCAAATAAAATAATGTTGAAAATAGATAGAGAGTATCACATAAACCAAGCTTCTCAGATGTTGTGTTTGTATAGTAGTGCTTTTTGAAATACTTTGCCTACTGAAGAGTTAGATGGTTTGGGGGTTGTTTTTATGGATCAACATGGATGGCTAGGATTTTTTTTTTAATTTGCCAAAAAATGAAATGGAACACTATGGAGAAACCATGTTATAGCCATAATTTTCAAGCATAATGACAAAAAATATTGGAATACAGTTTAATACTGTGTGTCTTTGGTGAGTCTTCACAGTCAGTAAAAAAATAGAACGTATCTCAAGTCTATTATTTTCCCTGAACTAAGATAACCTTTGGCATATAAACTGGTTAGGTGGCTGTTCTCTCTTTCATTAATGTAATTTAATGATGTCTTAATTATGTTTTAAACTTTTTTATCAAATATTATTTTGATCATCTTGACTACTTTTTTTAGTGAAAGGGTGAAATATAGATAATTGAAGAAATAAATGGAAAAAAGAGCTGCTAGAATGAACTCATGCAAACAATCTAGAGGTGCACTAGTTACTTGGAAAAAAATAACACAGAATTAGTTTCTTTTGCTGTACAAACTGTTTTGGAATAAAGAATTGTAGTCCTGGAGAACGATGATATAGAAAAGCTTAAATAAAAATGCATATTAAATCTGTGAAGGAAAATGCAAACTGCATCCAACAGAAATAGTACATATTATTAATAAATCTGGCAAATCAAGAATGGAAACTCAATGACTTAAACGATTATAATCTGCTATTTTTATCTAACAATTAAACTCCACTTTGTGTAGCTCTTTCATAATCTTGGTGGCAGGCACCACTGGACATCATTGCCACCCACCAACTGCTTGCGGTCTTACATTACATGGTCATTTCATAGTCTTGGTGGAAGAGTATTTTTATTCTGCTATGGGCTGGTCTTAGCTACACATGGAGCTGTCAGTGGAGCAAGATCATGACTGAGTGCAAAGGATGAGCAAATACAAGTACATTGTAGGGATGACCTAGAGTATTAAAAATACTCCATTAATGGATAAAGACCATCTGGCATTTTGCACATGGATAAAATAACAAAATCAAAACGGTGTATACAAACAAAACCTTCACATATATACCAAGGTCTGGTCTCTATCAACTGTGGATATGTGAAACTACAGTATTTACATACTGCCATATATAAAATCAGTGCTTGATAGCTCCACAACTTACATTTTTCAGAACAGAACCACATATCCTACATTAACGTGTTATTGGAATGCCTTTAAGTCCAAGATTTGATGGCATTTATAATCATTCTTATCAATGTTGCATCAAGAAATAGAATATAAGGAATTTCTCCTGTCCTGAGCAAGATACTTAAATATTAGAATATAGATGTGCAGGCTAGGTCAAGGAACTACCAACTATTTACATATCCCATTCATATTTCCAGTGCTTAAGTCAGGAAACTTTAAATAAACAACCCAGAAATGGGCTCTAAGGACCTGAACTGTAAATAGGCTTAGGACAAAAGGCACAACAGAGCTATCAGGATCTAAGCTAAGCTAAGACACAACAGAGCTATCAGGATTAGCCAAGCAAGAGGTTGCTATTATAATAATACTGCAAAAGGGGTTCTGTAAACAGCAAACCAATATATGTTCCATGCAACTTTGACCCAGAAATGTACAATTTCCCATTGATAGCTCCCACATTCATTCAGATTTGCATTGCAAAAAGACTATAATTGGCTATAATACGATATATATATTTTACCTGAGTGCAAGGTACTTTAGAATTACTGGGACTACTGCTGAACTGACATGCTATAGAATGCTCTGAGACTCAGTTTCAATAAAATTAGGAGTCACAAGTATTGTCTTCCCCAGATCCACAGCACATTGCAAAGGGCTTCTGAAAATGGAAAGCAATGTATTTGGAATTCCCAGTTGGTCACTCCACATGGAGAAGATTAAAAAAAAAGGTTTATATATATATATATATAAAAAAGCATCAACATTTGGAAGAAAATGTGCTGTCTCCTAATACATGTGCAAGAGGACCAGACCAGGACTGAGCATCAATTTTGTAGCTGGATCTGCTTTTTTGGAGGAGGGTGGGGTAATAAAATAGGCTTTGAGGCCATAATTCATGTGGCTGGGGAAATCACTAGATCAGACAGGACTATAAACTTTGGCCCAGTTTTTGAGTCTGGGGAAGAGAAAAAAGAATACCTTAACTCTTGAAGAGAAAATCTACAAAATTGAGGAGACCCATGTCATTCAAGAGCTGCAAAGGTGGGACTGAGATATAATCATATCACCAGAAGGACTTGGCATTTTGGCAGTTTACTCCTTATGTGGTTTTTTTTTTGTTTTTTTTTGCTTATTTTGGTGTATTGGATCTTAATAAGCCTAGGCTATTTAATTTTTTATTGAAAACTAGTAGAAAATCCAATTTTCAATGGTATGACCTTGAGGAATTTTGGGGCTGCCAGTAGGTACTTTTTTATAACCTTTTGTACAGCATGGATATGCTATGGAAATAGATTTGCATTAATTTGGTGGGGGCAGAAAGAGGCAGTCTCTTCCAGCCTCTGCACCAGTCATAGTTGGTAGCAAAAAAGAAAGAGAACTTTCTTCATTAAGAAGATACAAAGAGCCAATAGCTCAGGAAACAAGTAAAGGATTGCGCCTCTTTATATCAGCCCTATCAATCTTAAAGTGATCTGCAGATTATGCTTCATTGCTAAGAGTGATTTAAGTCAAAATATGTCTTAAATATTTAAAAGACAACAAACAAGTAAGCAAACAAACACAATGGTTCATGAGCACCAGGAAAGAAATAATGCCACATTTTCACAAGAGAAGTATACCAGAGAAACTGAATCTTATAAAGTTGTATAGACCAGATAGGAACTGGAGAATTCTAACAATGTTTCCAACACCCTCACACTGTGTCAAATGTGGCAGTTTCAAAGGAAATATTTCTATTTTAATTTATTATTTGATTTGCATGGCCACGCATCTCATCTAAGCAACTCTGGGTGGCTCACAACAGGTAAACACAATCCAATAAAAACAAATTACAATGATATAAAGACCATCCATAATCACTTTAAAACAAAAAACCATGATCAGCAGAATTCATCTTACATCAGCTCAACACAGCCACTGTAAGAGTTCCCCACCATTGCCAGACGTCCAGGCACAGCAGCAGAACCATGTTTTCAGGGCCTTCCTAAAGGCCAAGAGGGTCGGGGCCAGAGGGATGATGTTCCACAGGGTATGTGACATGGCATGAAGGACACTCTTTCTGGGTCCTGCCAAATGACACTCTTTGGTAGACGGGATCTGTAACATGCCTCTCCTGCAGATATGGAGACCTTTCATTTGGAATGGCTAAACTTTGAAAAGTTTAGTCAATAAAGTGCATTCAAGCAATTTGCCATCACAATTTAGTGAGAAATTATATCCCCATCATTGGTGGCAAAGGTATGTGTGTGTTTGGGTGGGGAGTTCCTGGGATTGCACCACGGCCTTATGGAGATGTGTATATGCACTTTTATTTTTGTGGCATGCGGCTTTGGAGAGGTCAGAACTCAATCACCCTTGAGTTTCTGGCCCTAGGTGCAAGCCTATGTATTAATTGATTGTGCCCATTAATTGGAATACAAATTGCCTAAGGCTTAATTGAATCTACGTCTAGTAAATGCCTGGAGGCGTGGGAGTCTGGATGGGGAGGAACACTCAGGCCCAACCCTGACAAGACTAAGTGGCTGAAGGCATTTCTACCACCAGGATCTGGAGATGCTCCACCTTGAGTCCTAAAAGGGATTGTACTGCCTCCTTCAGGACTGATGTGCAGTTTGGGGGTCAAAGGATAGGTGGCAGCTGCAAGATTTGGTATACTAGTACGCTAAGATTCAGTATAGATTCAAGTATACCAATTGTATCCATATCTGGACTAGGAGGCCCTTAAGATAGCCACTCATGCTCTAGTCACCTTGCTTGTGGTCTACTGCAACACATTCTACATGGCTATGCCTTTGTAGGTACTTGGAAGTTGCAGTTTGTCCAGAACACAGTGGGATTGGCAGTTATGGGCATGTCTTGCTATATCCATGTAACACCTCTGCTCCAGGAGTGCACAGGTTACCAATGGAAATGGTATTCAAACTACTGGTTATTGCCTATAAAGCCCTTCATGGCATAGGCTCGAGGTACTTGCTGCCAGTTCTATATGAATCAGCAAAGTTGTCATTCTCTGGTTCCCATTGATTAAACAATGCCACCTGACAGGCCCAGGAACTGGAGCTTCTCTGTTATAGTGCATACTGTCTGGAATGACATCCCTCCAGAGATTCATACAGCCCTCACCCTGACTTTATTTGGATGAACCCTTAAAATCTGGCTCTCTCCCTAGGCCTTGGGCTAGAGTGGGTGGCAGGCCCCTTCTGGGTTGTCTGATTCATGAAATGGGTGTTGTTTTTCTTTGTTTTTCTCTGGGGTATGCCACCCAGAGTTGTAGTGAAGTTGGGTGGTTTATAAATTTAACAAAATAAAACATAATAAAACAATTTGAAGAGATAAAAGTTGTCAGTAATGGGCAGGGATTATTTGGAACAGTAGGGTGTCAGGTAGAATGGGAACGACAATCTAATTTCCAGTGGGGACAGCCTTGGCAGGAAGAAAATTAAATCCAGAATCCAAACCATTATGAAAAAAAAAGAAAAGAATAAATACATTCCTAAACACATTATTTCCACAATGCCTTTCAACTGTTTTTAGTATTTTGAATTTCAAAATATTTACTCAGTAAGGTTTAAAATAAACAAATCAAAGCTATATTTTATTATTGGTTTTTGTTTTTTCTGTCATCCCCAATTTCCAGTATATTTATACTTCTATATTTGCTGAGCCACTGATTTGTACTTCAGACAGCTTCAGATATACCATTTTCAAAGTCTATAAATATCCAGTACTGCAATATCATCCATCCAACTATAAATTGAGGTTTTCTAAAGTATTTGTGGTAGGCCAAGCCAACCAGGACAACAGAGTTCACCTATACATTAGTAGAATAATAAAGACCCAAATAGCATGCATATATATTGGATTCCACTGGCGGTATGATCCAAATATCCTCTTGACTGGGTAGAAGACACAGATTCTTCTGGAGGAGGGCATTCCTTCTCTACAAAATAGGTCTCTATTCCTATTATTCCTATTCCAACAGTCTGAGCTAAACATGGGAAAGTGATGTGCATGACATCATCTCTTTTGCATGAATGACCATCTTTCGTTTGCTCTTCTGTATAGACATTTATATAATGCAGATGATAACACGCCTTCCAGTTTGCAAAATAAATGGATTCATTCTAAAATATTGCAAAATAACATTATGTGGGATGTCATTTATTTGAAAATATATACACATATAATTTGGTGTTCTTGTTGTTACTGTATGTTAATTTTAACTGAAAATGGCCAGCTGCCATATATTTGCACAGCAAAGAGTAACAGCACTGAGTTAACTGAATAAAACTGAATTAACCACTAAGTCTCTCTCTCTCTCTCTTAGCATAAATTAGCATGTTTTTTGCTTTTTCTTACTTGAATTTTTAAAGCTCCTATAACAAAGCAAAGAGGTAACCTCATCATCCACTTCTAATTTTGGAATTTTAGGATTGTGTGTCGAAAATTTGCAACTGACACTCAGAAGCATTTTGTTAACTTATGCACATTGTCCAAACTTACAAGCAAAAGATCTGGCATTGTACATGGCAAATAAAACAATTTACAAAGTGGGAAATTTATTATATTATGCACATAACTACTTGATAGCTTAGTAAACTTTCACAAAACTAAAAATCTTAACTACATTTTATGCAATCCACCTTAATTTACTCAATTTATTGTATTTGTCTTCATGACAGAAAAAAAGTCATGTTTCTGTTCTAAGAGGAAAATAAAATTCCACTGATCACTACTAATGTCTACAATAAGAACTGCTTAACTATCTATTCTACAAATTTCATGTTTCAATGGCAATCATAATATATATACTTTAGAGCCCTTTCCTTTAATTGTGCAAAGATAAACAGGAAGTTACTTATTACATATTTGAAATATTTTTTTCCTTACAGTAAGTTAATTACTTTTAACAAGATATATTGAATAACCATGCATTTACTTGCCAGGTCTTTATTTGTCATGATATTTCTTTTTTATTCATCATACCCTCTGAGGTTTCATTAAATTGATCAATGTTCCTGAACACAGTTCAAGACTAATGCATTTTCCTGCTAACTCTAAAAGATGGGACATTCTGAGGATCAAACAATGTTTCTTTATGCTTCTGATCATGCACAGTATCCCTGAAAAAGGAGAACAGGCAGATGCTATGAGGATGACATACCAACAGCCTTTCCAGAGCTACCTATAGTAAAAGGGCTGGAAAAGCATGCCATCTCAGATTCAGTGGCACTTCTTTCTTTCAGGCAAGAAGGGGAAATATATTTGATGCAACCTCTAGAACACAGAACTCTGATTATCATCTTTTGGGTCCACATTTTCAATTGTTGAGTCAAACAACTTTGGCCTATGCTTAATTACTTTTTAGTATTCAGCAATTTTTACCTGATTATTATTACAGCTACTCCTTGTTTAGCGGCTACCTTGTTTAGCAACTGTTTGCAAATAAGACAGTAATAATAAATTAAAAACATCATTTTCTGACCAATACATGCACTTACGCTCAAATTTCTGCACCTGATAACAATGCACACCGGAGTGAGAGTAACGCTGGCATTGCTGCACAGAGATCTTCACAGCACCTCTCTCTCTCTGTCATGTGATTCACTTAGTGACCATTTAGCTTCTGATATAAGGAATGAATTTCAGTCACTAAATGAGGAGAGGGTGTATTATTATTTCATTGCAAAGATTCACTTTAATTTTATTATTTATTCATTTAACATTTAATTTTAATTCTAAATGGCCCTTCATTTCATATTATTTCATACAAATTGTTACAACATGAAAAATGGGAGATGAATGCTGTCTTTCTTCTCAGTCTAGGCAGTAAAATGTATATGAGTAATGTAAGTAGAAAATGTGTTTGTATATAAGTGTGCATACTGTGTTCCGGACACATAAGTACATACACACAGAATTATGTAGAAATATTCTAAACATTAGTTCTATCAAAATGTTAACTGTTAAAGAATATAGGCTTTGTCTTAGATTAATTATAAATAATGGAGACAGTTTGGATATGGTCATCCAATTAGATGATTGTAAATAATGTAATGTTGAAGACTGCTATCTGGACCTCATCTAGACATGCAAGCCTTCATTTTACTATTAAAGCAAAAATAGCAACAAATCTCAAAACATTATTTGATGCAACAAGTGCAGCATATATTTTGATATTAGTTCTCTCTCCATATGTGCAAAAACAGTATTTCTATTCCTACGCATAGATTGAGGTTCTTATAAAAATAATCATAATAAAATATAGAAGGTAAACTTAATCCTATGAATGCCATCAAAATAATTTTAAGCGGACACCAATTCAGCAAATCTTCAATAGACTTATATTAGCCATCCCAAACATCTGTTGCAGATGATATAAAGCTATTTACTGCCCTGCCTAAAATACAGATATGCTCTCTTCCATACTAGCATACTTTGCATAGAGTAGTTCTTCACTTTTAAGAAAATCATTCAATTTCAACCACATAAGGAACAGTTTCTCAGGAACCCTTCCTAATTCCCATGTAAACAAACTTCTTAGCGTTCCCTTGCTTGTATAAACCAAGGGATTGAGAAGTCTTTGGTGGATTGTCCGAGGAAAAGAGCAAAGCAAAACTTCATGTAAAATAAGGTGCTCCCAAAGGGAAGGGGCAAAGTGTTGCATCATTAAGATATTCAATCATATTGTCATTGTTTCTGGGGGTCTTCTTTCAGTTGGGAGTCACACCAGCTTCTTTCTGACGTAGTCTTTCTTTCTGTTGTTTAACAGAAAAGGAGTTTATTATCATTCTTTGCTTTAATTTTCCATCTGTTTTCAAACTGCAGAGTATATGTGGTTTAGGCCTGAAGAATGGAGCAATTTGAAACCAGAGTAGACATAAGCTTTTTTTTTCTCTCTCCATTTTCTCCAGAAAATTAATTCCTGAAGTGCCAAACTAAGACAGGAAGGGTACGTTTTCAGGCAAGCATATGTTGAAAAGCCTATACATTAAGATGAGCCAATGGTGTATTTCTGTAAAAATTACACATATGAAAAGAAACACAGAATTTTAGAAGCTGTACAAGTAAAGGGGGAAAAAAAAAGTAGTGGAATGATCTGAAGCCAGCTACCTGTAGGGATTTTCCATTCCCTTTCCTTCAAAAATGAGTATTTCACCATGCTCATGTGGAGAAATGCATGATAATGTAACTGTAGCCCAGATAGCCATACATTATCATACACCTTTTTCCAATAATTTGCATCAAATTAATTAATAGCAAACTCTCCTTTGATTTCACACACATGCTTGACATCAGACTGTACCCAGCATAAATAGCCATATCTTTATGTTTAACAAAGCTTTTAGATGTATTGTTACTAAATTGGACCCACTTTCATTTAGCTAGCTAGTACTTGTATTTAGCATCCAAATACGGCAGAAGAATTTTCCATCTGTCTACATAAAAGACAGCAGCCAATACTGGACAAAATCCAGCAACCCAGAACTTGTTCATAAATAATTAAAGTGACAAATCTAGAGAAAGCCTTACAGGAATGTGCTATTAACTATCTTTTCTATCTACAGTGTCATATTTCATATTTCAGAAATGGAAGGAATCGAGAGGTAAAAACAATGCCTGGGACTATTTAGCATACAGAATGCAGCAGAAAAGGATACCAATGAAAGCAATGACAAAAGTGAATCAATTATCATTCAGATTAATTTTTCATGTGCAGAACTGAAAATATATACTTGCTTTTCAATAGGTTAACTATATGAGAATTGAATAAACTTCCAGCTATATTTAAAAGAGAACCAGAAACCAGAATCACAATAAGAACATAGCATACCAGACTGGCAGTTGGATTGATTTTCCTAGTTTCCACTTTCTTTTCTGCAGTTAACTTGCTCACTGATTGCTCAGCCATTCGAAGTCTAAAACAAAATATAAGCAAATCTTATTAGAGCTTTAAAAAATGGCATATATTCACCACATGAAAGTTGTTTTCCTAAACAACTCTACCTTATAAAGCAAGCAAACACCCAGAATCTACACCAATTCTCTTCTCTGACAGATTTGGAGAAATTATTATCTACAATTTTTAGAGCTGGAATAGGAGATAACCTCCATTCAGGGCCAGTGAGAGCTTTCCTAAAAAAAAAAAAGTCTTTTATTAAGTTATACCATTGATCCATCTCCTTAATCATGTCAACACTGATTGGGAGCAGTTCTCCAGAGCGTCTCCAGCCCAACTTGGAGATACCATGAATTGAACTTGAGATTTTTAATTGCAAAGCATGTGCTCTATTACTGAACCACAGTTCTTCCCTGTGGAAGGGGTATGACCTTCATCAGGGTCTCTATGATGCAGTTCTAACTCCAATCTATAATGGCATCAAGATGCAATTCCTATGGCTTACATACTTGCATCTACAGTCAAGGCAGAAGTATGAAATGCCAGGGATTGCATCTTGATATCTTAGTTTGTACTGAATACATACACTACACTATTACACACTGGTTCTCTTGCTCTTAACTCATGGATTGTTCTTGATCTCTAATGACCATCCTGATGGTGTTCCAGTACCAAATAGCCCACACTACAGACAAAAAATTCCTAGGCACTCATACTACCTGTGAGGATACTGAATAAGTGAAAGCTGGTCAAGTGTTGAAGCTCCACATTGGAATAGCCCTTCCTGTTATGAAAACCACATTGTCACAGAGAATTGAATAAATATAACCTCTCCAAATAAAGCCTAGTTCTTTCTGTCCTACCAAATTATGATATTTAATTTACATAGATAGTATTCTGTGGTTTGAAAGAGAGGTCCAGACTGCCACCAATGATCTATTTGTAGAGCTTTTTATGAAGATACATAATAAAATATTGTGAGATTACATCATCTATATCATTTATATTATCCATACAGAGATACCTATATCCTAAAGTCATTTTATTGTCTTTTAATATTTTATTCTCATCCATTCCTATAATAAGAAATAAAATAACACAGTAACATTCAGAAAAAGCCATGCAGGATCAGGATAAAGGCTTATACAATCCAATATTCTTCTCTCCCAATGGCTGGCCATATCCCTATCCCAGGTGCCTACAGTAATGAAGAAGATGATTACACTTTGATGTTTAGACATGCTTTAAGAAACTAATTACTTGTCCAAACAGTACATGTACTGTTGCTGTTTTTCAGCCGCTGCTTAGTGTCTGTAACATCATTATTCTTAAGAGTCAAAATGCTTTTACAGGTTTTATTTCAAGCCATTCTGAAGCAAAATGTGATGATAAGTGATACAGAAATACACTATCATGAATTAAGCATTCAGCGATGATATCTCAGAACACCCTGTGGTTTGACTCTATTGTCAGTCAGATTTGTCTCTTGATGCATCACATTAACTCAGAATCTCCCACGTAACAAAGATAAAACTTCCCATAAAGCTTATTTTAGCATTAAAATCTTAATTTTTAATATTGGTTGAATTTCTTTCCTGGACAACTTGGTCCTACCTATACTCATAAAGGGTTTACATTGCAGCAGAATTTGTTTGAGCTTGTGGATTTGTTAAATATTCCATGCATTATATTGCAGAGTTCTAACAAAGCGGTTGTGAAAGCAAGTGGAACTATAGATTAACTTGAAATATGTAGAATACATATTGGTCAAGGCATTTTTCTATAGGGATACATAAGATCAAACATAAAGTGAACACTTTCAAATGTTTTTATAATAATCTTAGGATAAGATTTCTTATTTTAGCATACGGCAATGAGTGGGTTGAATTCTATTTTTCCTGATCTCTTTAATTTGTTCATTAAACCCATAAACACTTTTTAGATTTAAAAAACAAGAGTATACACCTGGAAATAATGGTTCTGTAATGATGAATCTTTATGATCATAAAGTGTGCACTTTTGCTTAAGAATACAAGTCACACTTCGCAGAATCTTACTGTTAGAATGCCAATTTAAGATAATGCTGGCTCGCTGAGAGACCAAACTGTAATATTTGCCCAACACTGGAAAGTCTTGTTGAACAGAGTTATTTGAGTAAAAAGAAAATTTCATCCCTGGAATTCAGAAACAAAACCTAAGCTTCTTTAATAACTATTTTGGTTGAATCAGCTAGGAATGTAATATGCATTAATTACATTTAGCTGGATTACTGTGTTCTCACTGGTTAGTGGTGCAGATGCTGCAAAAATCTTGACTAGCTAAATTATGTCAGATGTGCATTTCCAAGTGAGATTTAAAATGATTTTTAGTCCTGCTGCAGTTCTGGTTTATAATTCATACTCCACAAACTCTGACTGGACTGTTACAAAATGCTGTCGGTGGGGCTGGCCCAGCAAATTACTTCAGCATTTCAGTTACTGTGGAATATGGAAGCAAGAAGTGTAATGCCAGTTAGACGCTAATTCAGAAAAGAGCAGAACTGTCTCCTTAATGGTTCCTGTATCCTAAGAAGCTTAGAACATAAATATCCGCACGAGTTTTTTTTCCTACATTAATCTGTTCATGCATTAAGATCACTGGTACCTTTTACAATATGAGAGGAAACAATTTCTATTACGGAATTCAAATTGCAGAATACTCTCCCACCATGATAACTAACTATTCAATTACCAGATATTTCATATGTATTATATTGGTATTTCCTGTCTTTGTTGTAATTATTATATTATATATAATATTAGATATACATTTTATCTTTTTATAATATTTGTTTTTATTCACTTGTTATTCTATTTAATTGTTGTACGCTGCCCAGAGTTGCTTTGTGTGAGATGGGGAGCTATATAAATGTGACATATAAATAAATTATATTATATTATATTATATTATATTATATTATATTATATTATATTATCAGGATTCTAGTTACATCTTGCATATCATGGATGATAGAAAAACAATCAAATAAGGAAAAGCATCCAGTCTAAAGCAAAAACTAAATTTTCCCAATTCACTGGTCCTGCGTCAGTTGCCATCTATTTTACTGCAGAATCATTAAGACCTTAGATATAATTTATAACCCAGCTTAGTAAAAAGACCAATGAAGTAAAATACTAAATTAAGAATTATTTTCAAAATTTATGTCAATTGTTGCCTATAGGGTAATTTCATATAGTGTAAATTGTTTGACTATGGCATAATTTCATATAGTGTGAACAGTTTGAATATAGTGTGATTTTATATAGCTTAAACTGAACTATACTTTCATGACAAAAGTATAGCTGGTCCAGATTTGGTCCAGATCCAGAAAAGAATTATAAGGAATGCACTTTGTTTAGGGTGAAATCTGGCCACACATGAGAGAAGTCTGTCCAAATGAAGAATTAGGGCCACTCATCATGCTTGCAAAGAGGTGAACCTACACTAAAGAATTGAGAAAAAGGGTGGTGGTAGCAGTAATAATATTAACAAAGGATACTACAGCCACTCAAAGTAGAAAAAAACTGGAAATAATTAAGAGTGGAATTTTATATGTTAAAACAAGCAAACCATTTTCTATAAAAAATTAAGAGCTACAGTTTTCAGCCCAAAGTGTTAATATTCCTATCTAAGCTATTTTGGGGAGAAGCATATTTTTAAATCTAGGTGTCTTTATAGTAAGTCAAATATCAAACACACACATAGGCACCCACACTCATTAGCCAATGCAAGATCACTATTTAGATAAAAGGATATATTTCATAATAACACACATTAAATAAAATTGTTCACATGTTAACAATATTAACCATCTTTAAAAATGTATCTTTGCTATTTAAAGTAAAAGAATAATCTTCCCCTTCTCAAGAACACACAGTGTTGTGTCAAGGCTGAGGATGAAAAAATGCTGCTTACTTAACCCATGGCCTCCTTTTCATTCAAAGGATCGAGGGAGGAAAGGATAGAAATTAAGGCATGAAGTGATTTGATACCAAAAGACTGATTTTAGCCACAGCAGAACGGACCTTAAATCAATAACCAGCTGCTGCCCTAATATACTCTCACCAACATATTAAGTATCCTCATGATTAACAGAATTTGGGATATTTATAAAAAGGTACCAACTATAATATTCTTTGTTAATAGGTTTTTTAAAAAGTATTATCCGTTTGTTCAGATTATGTTGTTCAGTAGATACAGAAATAGTTAAGTTTCATTTCATAGCTATTTATGATTGCAAACTTAATGCTTGCTTTGAATAGTTTTCAGTATGTGGGTAAGTGTGTAATTACATTTGGAAATACACACGTATAAACATAGTTTTAGGCTGAGTTCACACATAACATCAAACCATGATTTGGTACCATGGAAATAAACTATTGGGAATAAAGTAAGTATAACAGAAATAAGTTAATTTTGTAACTAACTGCATATTTTACCCCACCAACTCTATTTTAGTCTTTCCCTCCAAACCATAGTTGCAGAATACCTAGATTCTCCCCACAAAGAAAACCAATTAATTAAGAGAAGTGTAATTAACACAGGATACACAAATCCAAGGTATAATCAAGTAATGGCAGACTTGTGGATTGTTACTGTATGAAATAACAGTAGGTTCATATCTATCTATCAATCACAATCTATGCCCTGAATCATATTCTTAACTGTGCTGATACCTTATTAATTTTATTTATTCAAGAACTTATATCCTGCCTTTCCCCTCCAAAAAGTCTACACTTTTTAAAAATAAAGTGTGAATACCAGCCATAAAAAAGGCAGCTATTCAACTAGCCATCAAAGCACGAGCCACATCAATTTTTCCCCCAACTATATCTATGTATGTACATGCAGAAACAGCCAGAAGCAACATCCAAAGCAAACACACAAACCTGGAGAAAGCAGCTATTTCAAGAACTCAAAAAGAAGCTTCATATACACGGCTGTGTGTTTCCTGGGATCTCTTTTTAAGGGTCTGCTGCTCCCAAAGAACAAGGTTTTTGAACTAATTCCTTCAAACCTCTTTCAAAGCAGAGCGATTAGGGTTTTAGAAAATTCATTTAAACCAGTGTTTTTCAAACTTGGCAATGTTAAGGTGTGTGCACTTCAACTCCCAAATTCCCCAGCCAGTTCTTACTTTGTTTGTTGTATTTATTTTTGCTTTGATTTATTTTCTGAAGCTTCACAGTCTAATAGCATAGGGTGGTTATTAAAAAGCTTAATATCAAGAGTAGCCTATCCCTTTAAGAGAAAATGATTCACCTTGAACATATAGAGTTCTACAGGATGAAAGCAAAGGATTACCTAACTCAGACTGTTACACAAATTTTTCAAGATTTATCTAGCTTTATGTGTCCATAAGTCAGATAGATGGATGGAAAGAGAGAGAATATATAATCCTAGATTAGTTAAACTATGGCCCCTGGGACTCAGCCTCATTTCATCCTGATTTCAAAATCTCTCTGTTAGTGACCAATCAGACAAGAGCAAGCTATCTCTTACCTTCTCTTTCTCCTGCCAACATTAGAAGAGGGTAGTGTTTCTCAACCTCAGCAACTTTAAGATGTGTGGACTTCAACTCTCAGAATTCCCCAGTCAGGCTGGCTTGGGAATTCTGGGAGTTCTGAAAACCACACATCTTTAAAGTTCCAAGTTTGAGAAACACTGGAATAAACTGTTACTGGTGATATATGGAGAGATGGATGTTTACACGTCAGGGGGGAAAAATCACTTGTTTGAGCATGGTGTCTTAGAGTTTTCCTCGAGAAAATAACTATGAATGGCATTCATAGGGTAAAAAGAGGGAAGTGATGGCTATATCTAGGGGAATGGATACACCATACCCACATGAACAGAAGAGTTGTCTATATAGATGTTGTCCAGTTTACATCAACTATCCCAAAAACGGTGCTGTAGTCCATTCTGTGTTCTATCAGTTCCAACTCCTGTCACTGTAACTATGTGCACCTGCAGTATTTCTGGCACTGAGTTGCCATGCATTGCCTATTCATATAGGTCAGTGTTTCTCAACCTCAGCAACTTTAAGACTCCAATTCCCAGAATTCCCCAGCCAAATGTTTCATATTTTTCTTTGGATGTTATGTGAGGAAAGAAGAAACTAAATCCAAAGACATTTTTTTGCTTGAAATGCTTGTGTAAAGTAGAAACACGCAAAATGCTGTAGACCCATTCTGTTAGATGATGCACAAATTCTTCCAGTGATGTTTGCATAATCTGCTTGCAGATAGCACGAGCAGCTACCATTGCAATAAAAACACAGGAAAGAATCCTGTCTCCCAGCAAACTTGTTACTTGAAATAACCAAATCAGTTTCATCTACCACAGCTCAAACCAGCTTCTCTTCAAGAATAAGAATCTTTGTATGCCATTTCAAGGGCAAATTGCAAGCAGCTTCTATTATGGCTAATTTCAAGTCTAGGAGGACTTCCCCTTCCCTGCCATTTTCTTTCTTAGCATAAAAACTGACTGCTGCTTAAGATTGTTGCATGTGATGAAAGACACCGAGTGACCACCTGAAGCCCACCATGTTTGCAAATCTCCTTGTATAAAAAGCATAGCAATTTACTGAATTATCCACATCTGTATCTAATTTAAAATAGCTTGCTTAAGCATATTTTTGCTTCTAGTGTTGGACAATTAACATTGTTATTGTGTGTTGAAGGCCAACTACTATGTGTCAAGTTATTCATTTAGGCTCAAGAATAGTAATGTAGCCTTTGCTTGTTTAATACAAGGAACACTACACACACATATACATATGTCTTAAATTTTAGATGTTCAGAATAATTGTTAGCCTTCATTCAGCTTTTCACTGAGTGTTACTTTATGAAGGGGCAAGGTTCATTCCCGGCCTGCAGAATCTGTGTTCATTCCCAGCAAGCTAATATATCCCCTACTTTGTAGATTGGTGTCACATGATCCCATGATATTTTGCTTTCCATTTTTTGTTTTAAAATAGAAGCTGGTGTCTATTTAAAATAGAATCTGTTGGATTTGGCATCATATGCATCTAAATAAATAAATAAAGATTTAAGAATCTTAGGACTGATCTCAACATTATCATTCCATAGCTTCCTTTTTAAAATTAGTGTTTATTTTATTACTAATTGGAATTATTTCACTCATGACTGTATTTGTTCCGATATGTTGTTACCTGTGTGCTTCAAAAGTTGATTACAAACAACATTTATTATCTGTCGGGAAGCATGAGTGTGACTGATAATATACAACAGAAGTCTTCAGATTTTTTCAGGCAACACCACCTTTTTTTTAAAAAAAATCCTGGAACCCCTGACCAAGAGTCAAAGCTCAAATGATAGAAAATTGGCTGTGTTTAAGTGAACTTTTTTTGTTTGGCCTTACGGTCTCTCAAAGAACCCCAACAAATACTTGCAAAACCCTAGGGTTCCACAGAACATAATTTGAAAAAAGGAAGGAAGGAAGGAAGGAAGGAAGGAAGGAAGGAAGGAAGGAAGGAAGGAAGGAAGGAAGGAAGGAAGGAAGGAAGGAAGGAAGGAAGGAAGGAAGGAGCGAGCCTATATGTACCAGAAAGTTGCATTCTGGACAAATGGGACCTACTCCAAAATCATATAACATGGAGTGGTCCTGGAGTGCAGGTTTCTAGCCATATCTTCTTCTAGAATATTTATTCCACTTCCTCTCCCCAGAAACATTCCATGATTACCAAACATGTTCAGTCATTAGGCTGGGTTCAGGAAGAGAGAGTGTTCCATTTCTGCACATTTTTAAATTTTCTGGTGAATGTGCATGGTGTTCATTTGGCCGTATAAAGAGTGACAATCAGATAATTGTGATTTAATAGGAAGAGAAAGTAAAATGAAATGTAGCAAGATCGTTGGACTGGGAAACGCTTATAATACATAATTTAAAATGTGTTATGTTTTTAACATAAATTTGTAACCACATGCAAAAATAAAGCAGTAGTGTACAGTAATGAAATTATTAAATAATCATCCTAACTTTTCTTTCTTTCCTTTTTAAAAGCTAAGCTCAGCCTTGAAACCTTAACACAAAAGGGTTTTAACTAAAATCTAATAAAATCAGGAGACGATGAGACACGCCGCGGCATGGAGTTTGATCTCCACAGCAGGATACCAAGAAGCAGTGCTGTAAATTCAGTATGGGACTTTGACACTGTGCTAAGTGTGGTCTGAATCTCATAGGCTTCCCTTTGATGCAAGTGTGGGCATATTAACTGGAAAAAGCATTCACTTTTATTTGTCAGTGCTGTCTGCAACACCAATATTTCCTCATTTAAAGTCGTCCAACATGAAAATGCAAAGAGAAGCAATCTGTTCCAAATTAGCACAGCTCCTCTTTCATTTTACTAGCTAGTAATTGGAAGGGTTAAGAAAGTGTAATTTATCAGATTATATGTGTTTATCTTTTTGTGGGGACAGCATCCCTTTGGTGAATTTTCCTAGGCACCCTGAGGGAATAATCTTTCCTTGATGTCCATTTGATCTGAAAGAAAACAATGACGCCTGTGAAATACAGGAGTATAATTTGTTGAGTTTGAAAAAGAACAGTTTCCCAGACTTCTAAAAATGGTATTAATGGCTTTATTAGAACCTTACCTTTCTTTAGAAATGTTTTTGCTCTCTCGCTTCCAAATAGTCTTAAAGTCACTGCAGAACTCATACCAGACCATGAAAACGTAATTCAGCGTGGTCTCCTTTTCACCAGATTTTGGCTTTATCCCATAGTACCCCACCATTTCTTCAAAGCTGGAGGATGTAGAGGGGGAAAAGAAGGGCAACACATAAACTCACTGGGGAAATTCAATGGAAATTTTGCTAGCACAGATCTCTGACTAGATATTCCAAGTTAAAAATAAAATAAATCAGGTGTAACTAGAAACTGTACCATTAATAGAGACCAGATGCAATGCAATTTATATTGGTGTTTTTATTGCCTCAGCTACCAAAGTGAAGTTGAATTCACTTTGTCCTATTGCTACATAAGCAATAGGAACAGAGAAAGTAAACTGGTAGGCAACGTTTGAGAAAGAATCTCCTTTCAAAAACAGTTGTTCAGTAAAATGGTACTGAAATGTACAATTGTACGTTCCCCTAATTAATCTCTAAATTATAGGCTATTAATTCAAAGTCATGGCAACATCTCCCTAACTAAAGATATGCAGGTATTAATATCCTGAAAATTCATCTTTTGATCCAGGCCCAGCACCAGAAGATAGCACCACTGGAGTCACAATCTTGTGGGGAATATCCCTAGGGCTCTTTTCACCTCTCTATGTTGCCACTGCCTCTTCACCTGCGTTTTCCAAGCAAGTTGGGGCAGGGATAAAGATGAGGTGAACTTACCAAGGGTCTATTGGTTAAGGACATCTCCACCCTAAACAGGAAACTGACACTTGATTTTTTATCTTAGCATCATAATAAATTATAATTTCAGCAATAATCAGGGGGCACTGAGGTCTAGAATTATTTGTCTTATACTGTAGAAGGATGATGCTGGTGAAACTGCATATGTATAGCTTCAGTGGACACTTGAAAAGCTTTTTGATTTTTAACCTGAAAGAAGACTATAAAATGTTCTTAAACGATCTTTTGGACAAACAATAAGCTTATTATATAGCATTGTTCCTTGACTGCTGTATTCTTCAAGGAAGTGACTGAATATTCCCCATGTTTTTGACAAAACAACCTTCCTTTCCTACAAAAAGAAAGATGTCACAGAGAACAGTTACACATTTAACTTTCACTCAGACGTGCTGGACTTCTCTGTGTATATATTTTCATCTATCATTTAATCTCCCCACACAAGATCTAAGCTAACTGTATGAAAATACTGGAAATAGTAATATGCATTTGAAGAAAGAATCCCAATCCTAACCCTACTTAAAGATATTTCTGAATACATAATGCATAGAGTTAAGGAAACTGGAAAGCTTACCACTTTCGTGCATTGTCCAGGTGACTTTCCTCTGTCTTATGTTCTTCTGCAGCTGCAAACAACATTTTAAAATAATCTTAGAAATCTGAATCAAATGTTCTATAATCCACATTTCTCATAGAAAAAAAGAATATTTGGAGTATTCAATACGAATTATATACTGAGAAATTATGTCATCCATGTAGACACTGTAAGGAAGGCACTGACTAGTGCTCTAAAGATATGCCAGGAACGCAGAGGCCAGTGTAATTGGCTAAAACATTTTAGAACTCAACAAAAAGTATATGCTGTTCTTATGATGACGATGGTATTATTTGTGAGGAGGATGCTGTACAGACCAATAAGAAAACCCTTATTCTTATTGTGTTGCAAACACACTTTATTTACAGTGAGGGTATGCACAACTGAGAATGATTTTGGTCTCCTTGCAGCTAATACATGCTGTAGGTTTTCCAGATGATGGCTTTTTTATGCTAGGGAGGAAAATATCCAACAGAAGAGAATAGCTGTAGCTCAGGGTTGAACTCTGGAGTTCTTGGTGCTTTCTGAGCTTGGTTGTTTACAAACAACCAAGCTCAGAGAGCACCAAGAGCTCCAATGGAAAAATATTTAGATGTCCAGAACCAAAGTTATCATATAAAGGTATTTCAGTTACTGACAAGAAAGATTACTTACACATCTGTCCAGACATCTTTTACTCAGAAATTGTGGTCTCTTATCCATTCTGGCCCCCAACATATAGACATATCCTGGGAAATTTCTCTTGGAATTTTAATGAAACATTTTCTATCAGGTGGCTGGGGTGATAGTGGAAGTGATACACAGCTGAATTTCACAAAATAAAGGGCATGTAAACTTTATGTATGATGACCTTCCCCATGTTTCCAAGGTTACTATGGGCTAAATCTAGAAGTTTAAGTCTATACTGATAACAAATTCCATAAAGTGGAGGAAGATACACAAGCTGTACATGACTTTGATTACAGGGCAAGATGAAAATCCTGGTTAAAATGTTGTGCATGAGGCACAAAAACAGAAGCACAGATCTCTCAAGTTTCCATTCTTCCCTCAGCCAAGCAAATTTAGGTGCTGGGGAAAACAAGCAAAATATTTTACAAATATTAGGTCTGTTATAAATCTTAATAATGCTATCATTTCTTTGTACAATACTGCCACATAATCTGTTTTCAACTCAGAGTAGTTTGGTCTATTTAATAAACTTAGGGAAGTAAACTGTTTTGAGTTATTATACATATTTTTGTACATGGGCTTGCAAAGTGTTACTTGTCCTTACACTTGAGATATTTTGGAAAATCTCTTGACATTTTTCAAGTACATGATACATGAAAGTTAAAATACACTTAACAGTAACCCAAAAGCACTGATTATATTTATACATTCCACCCACAGAACAAATTCAACTGTTTATTATCAGAGGTAATACAAGGAAACCAAGAAATTATGCTCTGTTTAAAAATGGATAATGTTGCCTATAAATTTGTCAAAATTGTGTTGAAGGTTGGTTTACTAGACAATTATAGCAATGAAGCCAGCTAAACCAGATATTATATATTCATTTTTCTTGGATATCTTTGTATTTCAACAGAAAAAAAAACTTTTCAAAAGTTGCTTATTTTTTTTATACTAAAAAAATGGAACATAATGGAATTTTATTTTCAGTTAATATCCTCTTTTGTAACATAACACCAAAATAAACTGAGACCAATGATACTACATGTCTCAAAATTCAGTATTTTTCTGGGAAACAACTCCAAAAACTAATTTTTCAATACAATTCTCATACATTCAGTGTTATTAATCAATCACTGCTCCCCAACTGTGGTTAAAGATACTAACTTTTAAAACACAATATTACTTAACATAACAAAAAAGAATATTTTTCGTTTGCATGTATTCCAAAGGAAACAGAAGGAGTAATCTTTCTGAGATTGCTAAACACAGGCAAACAATTTAAGAAACTGGAAAATTGGTTTTAATCCCTTTTAAACAGAATATGTATGAAACCAATCTGTTCTGCTTTTGAAAAAATAAACCAGACAGAGTACACTCTTTCCTATAGAAATGAGAGTTTTTTTGCGGGGCTGGAAAGTGGGGGGGAGGTAGCTTAGTATGTTTAGAAGTATGATGAATTATGGTTAATAAGAATAGGAAACAGGTCTTTTCTAAAACAGGAGATTGTCACAAATACCTAGCTAATAAGTATACTGGGTAATACAGAGTTGCAAAAATGGGTAATTGTACATGAACCCAATTTTAAAAAAGCTTATGGATGTGGTGATTTGAGTTATTTTAGAAAATTAAAAAAACCCCATAGCATTACTTCCTCCTGTGGGATGCAAAGAACAATTTATGAAGCTGAGCTCATAATTTTATCAAGCTAAGCTCTATACATTGAGCTTAGCAAAGATCAGTTTTACACAATCAGGTAAAAATTTAGGAACATAATATGTGCAGCAGCCTCTCACACTTAAAGGGATAGTTTTGTAGAGTGCTGGAGTGGAGAATGGATTAAAGAATTCCGCTTCCATTTTCATAAACTTCTCTTCCTTCATTAGGGCATTCTCCTTTTACAAATAAACATTTCTGGTGGTTGGGAGCAAAGGTTCATTTTAAATGCACAGCAGGAAATGGCAAAACTGAAATTAATTTTCTATGGATTTGTGTAGACTTTTTCACACTGTGAATTGCTTCATACCATTTCAGCATTCTTTGTTATCTTTCTATTGCTGGTCATGACTTTGTTCTGGCCTATAGTCTTTTAGATCAGAATCAGAATTGGAACTGGAGAGTTTGCGACAGAGTTTAGAGCAAGGAAGTTATAAAAAAAAAGTGTACATGCATCTGTTTCTTTGCACATAAATATTAAAAAAATAAGAGGAATAAAAAATATAATAATATGATAACAATAATTTTTTAGAATTTAAAAAATTAAGCATACCGTAAAAGAATAAATGTCTTTGACAGCTTCTGATTTTAACATTTAAACATTAAAATGAGAGAAGGAACAGCATCTATGTACAGTCCAGTGTTAGAAAAATATTTAGGTCCAATAAAATTGTCAAGCTGTAAATTCTAGTTTGTATACAAAACTAGGCCATGGACAAATGTTTCTCCTGCTGGTTAGTTCTATATAAAAATATCAAAACAATAAATGTTTTCATAAACAAGGATGGGTAAATAATACATTTTCACTGAAAAGACAGGAACTTCATCCCAATATGGCATTCCTTCCCTTCTGTATAAATCCCATTCTCAAAAGAGTGAAACTCTCAAACCTAGTGGTCATGAAGACTCAATAATCTGAAGTTGAGCTGGAGACTACTGGGAGTCTCTTGGAGTCACCACCCAGAGTCGGTTTGAGTTGGGCAGTGTCTAAATCAAATAAATTAAAATAAAATAATTAATTAAGTTTAATTATAGTTCAGCCTTCTCCAAGCTGATGGAGAATTCTAGTTATTGACTCAACATATCTGAAGGGAGTCAGTTTGGGAAAGGTTGGTTTAACTTTGCTCTTTTAATACTTTTTTGATCCTGTCTTTATATTTTTCATGTACGTAATTAATCTATTTATTCATATGTATCTGCAAGAAATCTCTGAAAAACCTCTTTTCCCCCAGGTCTTGGGTTAGGATGGGTTTTCACCCTCTTAAAGGATTACATCTGTTTGAGGAATTGTCTTTTCCAGACACATATAGTTCATGCTTTTTACTGCTTTTACTTTTTTTTTTTTTTAATGTTGTATGTTGTCCAGAGATGTGTGGCCTTCTAAACCCAATAATTAATTAATTAAGAAATATAGGTAAAATAATGTACTTTTTACTGCCAAGGAAAATGTCTTTGTTGCCTGCTTCTGATTCTCTGCAAACAGTGCCTGAATTACTCTAGAGAATATGCTTCCTATGTAAGAATTCATTTTATGCTTTCCTGCTTCTCAACCGTTAAGACCATTCATCAACTCTTTTACCATTGTAGATCTGTAAACATAGTTTTAAATCTTGGCTGAAATGCTTGCTCATATACATGGACCTAAATTGTCGTGAATACATTTACATGTTAACTATATTCCCTAATATACCCTAATACTAAAAACGATAGATGAAATTTTCTATAAATCTAAAGAGCTTGAATATGAGATCCCAACTGGTCAGCAATCAATTTTCATTGATGAACCAGAAAATTTAGGTCCAAATGTAAGTATTTCCCAATAAGGAGGCTCATCATAAATGCAAAGATCATATTAAGTGGTCTTTCTGTGGATATTATTATTATTAGAATAAATCAATGCATCCCATCCCAGCAAAAGAGTATTATAAGTGTTGGTTTTCTATACACTTTCCAACACTTAAGGAGAACCATGGAGATGGATCTACATGAAAATATTATGTTAAAAATTATCTTGACTTTAGGAAAAGTCAATAAAGTAAATTCATTTTGGGTAGAATTCAATACATTATCACAAATAATTCCGACATGGCTTGGGATCATTTGTATTCCTAAAAGCAATTCTAAATTTACTTGAAGAAAATTGCTTGTTCATTTCAAAGCAAACAGAATGAGTTCTAAAATTGGGAAGAATGATCAGAACAGTTTTTGGTTTATAGAAACATCAATAACTGAGCATAACTTGGTACAGTCTGCTGTTTTCAAATGGAACATCCATTTCATATTACTCACTGCATTTCTGTTACTTACATATATATTTTATATAGATTGCGTTTACATCTATTATTTATATTGATATTTAGTGAACTTTCCCCTCCAATAACAACTGTATGGGCATACAAACATTCTTGGAAAAAAGGAAACATCTGTATCATCACATCCTAATAATTGTATTATTGTAGGATAATTGTTCTATCTCTGGCACTTCTAATATTTTTCCAGTTGCCTGCAGCTGTTGTAATTCATGGATATGGAAAGAAAGAGAAAAATGCCTATGTATGAAGCAATGAAAATCACAATCACAATAAACGTTTGGTTACCACTGGAATTTTAAAAACATGGAAATTATAATTTTTAAACCACTCTTTGTCTCACTAAAGACATAGGCCATAGATGAAAAAATTTAGTGCACTGTGAAGCATCTTCCTGATGAGTCCAAATGAGTACTTCACTGTGTTTTTAGCACTAATGAAAAATATTCATTAGCTGCAACAGTAATGTACCATATCATGCATTGCTTGACAGTCATCCAGGAGTTTCTTCCCAGACCATTCCTTTACAAATACAAACAGCTGCCTTTGATATGCTAGCATCTTCTGCCTTTTCTGTAACAAATTAAAGGTTTTTTTTTTTTTAACATGGAGGTGATATTGAATATTATGCACAAAAGAGACCTCAGTGAACCAAGCGCCTGAAAAATAGGTCTTCAGTAAATAATATTTAAATACAAACTACTTATAAGACAATGCTGTGCTTAAGAGGAAAAGCGGTGCCTTTTCCAGCATTTACTAACCTAGAAACTTGATAAAAAGTACAATTTTGGTTTTATACTTTTTTTTAAAAAATGTGATCTTTACCATCAAAATATGTGGTACTGCTAAATGTGAAGATCTGTAATTTCCCCTCAAATTTCATTCAATCATTCTGTACCACTCTTTTGCTTTGTTTATTGTTTATTATATTTTTACTCTGCTCAATAACCAGATTATCTAGAGACATTACTATTTTGCTGATGAACAGTTCTATAGTCTCAAAAGTTTGCATTCAGCTTGATGACCTGTAAGTTGCCCTAATAAAGTTACAGCATAATTTATAATATTCTCATGGCAGAGGGAAGGACTGGCTAAAATGTGCTGTTTTCACTTTCTCCTCTGAAATTATTATTATTTTACTGAAGAGCAGTTTTGCTTGTATATGTTGATTAATTTCAAATAAAGAAACTGTAAAATTGGGAGTAGGAAGAGGTGAAGGATTAGTGGCTTGAATCCTATTCAATGGAAAGACATTAAAACTAGAAAAGTTTGTCTATTTTTCCATTCTTCAATTTGGTATCCAATAATATCCGCAACAATACTGTCATGGCTAATCGAGAAATATTAAAAGCAGAATGGTGCTATTTACAAAACAGAATTCTAAATTGAATGAAGAAAATTACCAAGAGTATGTATACTGGCAAGCTAAGCATGCAAAAGCATGCAATTATGCATACCATAATTATATAATGGTATAACCCTAAGCATGCATTTTTAGAAGGAAATTGCACTGCTTTTCAAAGGAGCTAATCCCAGGATTGTACTGTAAAACATTTTCTACAATTACCAGGGAATCTGCTGAAAGAATGATGGCATTGCAGAAAAGTACAGTCTATAGAGATTAACCACACATAAATCACTGTTGGTAAATACAGTTGGTCAACCACTCAATTTTAACTGACCATTTTACATTGTATTTACATGTACCAGATAATTTCCACACTAAATATCATACTTCTGGTTTAATTTGCACCCAGTCCTGAAGCCCTGCAATCTAACCCACCAAAAATGTTTAAGAAGTGAAATACTCCTCTTTCTTTTCAAGGGGGATATGTATGTGTATGTATGTATGTATATATATGTATTCCATGTGACATAGACATGACATAGACATCACACACACACAGAGCACAAGAACAAGCGCTAAGCACCATATCCATAGAAGCAGGGGTCTACACACAAGATAGGACCCAAGGTACAGACTGTGCAGAGAGGCCTCAGAGACAGTCCAACACACAGTGGCAGGGTGTAAGATGCAGGCAGGAACAGCATACACTGAACAGCACAACCAAGTATCTGGCATTGTGAACAGGAACATTTACACAGTGTATGAGCTAGACTGTCCCGAGTCCAGATGGGAGATTCTGCAGAAGATTTCTGTCAACACGATTGGCTTCTAGTTTTTCCCTAGGTTGCTCAATAGATCCACTTTGCAGTTAGAAACCTTTTCTTGCTGGAACCCTGCTGAGTTTATGGGGAAGCTTAATACATTATTAGACTTTTTTTTAGAAACATACCATTAGTAAAGAGATAAAGTTTATGTCGGTATAATGCTGGGTTACAATTTTACATATATTAACATAGAAGTAAGCCTTAGTGAAGGCAGTGAAACCTATTTTATAAATAACCTTAGGACTATATAAGAATATAAAGAATACCATGTTTCAATATATTAATGCTAGCATATTGTCACTAGCATATAAGATCAATAATTATCTAATGCCATGAAACAGTGACAATAGACTCACTCAAAAGCAAAAAGTGAAAGAAACAAAAGTGACAGTAGAATGATTTCAAGAAGAGAAAGTATAAGTTCTATATCAGAATGATTTGAAAATAAAGAATGGAGGCAAGGAAGGAGGATATGGAAACTACTTCAAACAGACTGAAATGAAAGAATTATGTTTGGAATGCCACAGAAGTGTGTGAAGTTATGCATAAGGTAGACTGATGTAACTGGTGATACCAGCTGAAAAGGTTTGTTTTTTCCACCTGTATAAAGGAATGGGAACCACAGTCTGCATAAATCTGAACCAATAATTAAGACCAGACCGACACTGAATTATATAAAGGATGGGAATGTGTATAAAGAAACAGATTGGAAAGTGTATACCTTTACAGAAAAAATCTTCAAATTTATCCTTAAAGGGCTGAAGGTGTTCTTCGGATGATTCTCTGAAAACAACTTTCATCTGTTTTTCACAACCTACAAGAATAAGCTAAATGTTAAATTAAAACGACAAAATACAAGACCTCTAATAAAGACTAATATCCAAATATTCTCAAACAACTAATAGTTCATATCCAAGTAATCGAAATATTTTAGGTAATTACATTTTCTTTGGATTATAGATTAGGAAGATCTGACTGACAGACACACCTTTGGCTGATTTTGTAAAAATTATACATTATTATTAGAATAAAATACCATTTAAGGAATGGCTGTAGATATGTGGATTTAAAGAAAATTATTAAGAAGTATAGTTGAATAAGAAACAGAAAAACAAATGACATTATTCTTATTTACATATAAAAATGTAAACATTCTCATTATGCATAGCAAATAAATACATTAAATAAAGGCAAGCATAGACTTGGATTGTTTTTTAAACAATATGATCATCCAATTAATATGTATTTTAATTATCTTGGAAGCATGTGAAATGTATCTAAAGATTAATATCTGATAGACACTTACTGTTGGTTTTATAGGTAGTAACGTGAGAAAAAACACAGAGCAATAACAGCTTGATTAACAGCTTTACATTTGAGTAACTTAATATATTTTTGATTTGTAGGTATTATTTTCAGTGAACAACTCTCCATGTACATTAACACCTATAATTATGTAAGGGAATAGTACAGCTCCAAGATGTTTTGAAAAAGGACAGGATATGCAGTTTTGTGGATTAAGATAGCTGATGCCTTCCCAGGAGATGTTCAGTCCATGTTTTCATGGTACAATTTAAAAGCGTAAGTCTATGTTCTCTGTCTAGCGGCTATAAGCAATGATTACATAATGTGGAAAGAATTAGATAAGAAGGTAAGAATTGCTAAGAATTTGTAACAGACTGCCATTAATCCTTCTGGTTGCTATATGGGCCTCATGGAACTAGGAGTTTTACTTCTCCAACAAATTACAAGTTGCAGAGAAAGCACTAGATGCATGTTCTGAAAGAAAGGCTGAGATAGTACTGAACAGTTTTAAAATTTTATTTTGGTGGGTTAACTGACCCATCACTGCTCTCAAACTGAGAGCAGGTGTTGGGGCATAAAGGCTCATTCCCTGTGTCAGTTTTAGTGTCTGTGCCATCACTTACAGTTAGGGGAAGCAATTGGCCAATTTCTGACACACTGCAGTGCCACTACTACAAAGAGTTGGAAAACCATGTGGCATTTTCCAGGCTAGGATTCAGTGATTCAGGAAACCGCTAGCGTTCCACCCTTCCAAGGGTGCTTCTACATATTCTTGATACATGCTAAACTCCTCATTGGTATTATGAACTAGGTGATCAAGAATATAAAGCTACTGGAAACTTCAGTTATGGCAGCAGTGAGAGTCTGGAGATTTTGACAGAGAGACAATTTTAGAAAATAAAAAGGATAATAATTGTCTTATTGAAAATGAAATTTCAGACAACTTTATAATATATCCACTGCATGTACACAAGTTGTGCAGAACAGTGAAGAATGAGAAAAAATGATAGACTCACTTTCTTAATTGATAATCTGATTTGTGAGAAAATGGGAAATGCTCTCTGAATTCAGAGAGAAATGTTTTCATCCATCTTACTCCAGAAGGTATAAATAAATGTACAGTGGCTTATAGCTAAACAAAATTTTGATTTTTATATTCCTGATGAATTTCCTTAATTTCTAAGGTTTACTTAAATGTCACACACAGCCTAATCCTATTCATATTAACCCAGAAGCAGATAACACTGATTTCGATGTATCTAAGGTGAAGAATCTGGCATTTTTCATGTACTAGTTGTTTATTAAATATATAGACAGTCACATCTGAGCAACCCTTGTTGGGTTACAAGGTTTAAAAAATACAATAACATCAGCTAAGACATCTATGATACAATTTAGAAAAATCACAACAACAATATGTATGTTTAAATGTTGGCTATTGAACATTTATGCCACATGTACTATTAACAGATTGTATTTATGCCAAATGCAGCACAACAGGACAGCAAGAGCTCAAGAATTACATTCTGGGTCAAAACCACAACTCCGCTGTCTCAAGTCTTCCCTTTAGGCCATTTGGCAGCATAATTCATTGATGTTCCTGAATTAATGCTAGAGAAAAGTTCCAGAGTCTTTTTGAAAAGGAATAAAATAGGTCTGGAGATCATAACTAGCATTTGGAGGAAAACACCATCTGCCAAAAAAGTAGCTCACCCATGCAATTGTTCCTCTATTTCTGATCCTCTGTTATTATGTGAAGGAAAAGCATTATTTCATATACATATTATAACTGAATTGTACACTGGAAAGTTAAACCTATAATTAGAACTTGCCTAGAGAAAAATATGCTTAAATTTAGGATGGAAGCGTGAATGTGAAATATAACTGTTATTTTTCAAAATCCTCCTTGCTCTCCACAAATGTAATTTTGATTTTCTGTGCTTCCCCAATGAACCAAAGTTTTATTTTTGTTTTTCTGGTACTGATATTGCTGGAAAACAAAAAACGATTGCCTCTGACCTCTGGCCCAGCTAGGGTTACCAGGTATCTGAACAGGCAAACAAGGACATGGACAGTTGGAAAGGAGGACAAATGGGGGGAAAGGAGGACTTTCTGTTGTTAAACTTTCTTGGCATCTGTGACAAAAATTACAGTGAAAAACTGCAAAAAACCAAAAAACAGTACTTAGGCCTACAGATATATGAAATTACTTTTTCCAGCATCAGACGTGTTTTTCAATCTCAATAATTTTCCAACAAATCTTTATTTTCAAGAACATATGTTAGCAATAATATAGCATTGACAATGACGAGCTTTTCAAATTTCACCATAGAAATGTATGATGAGTCATGTGATCTACAGATTACAGTGATCATAGATTTGAAGGGGCTGGATTGAAGCCAGTTGCTGGAATTAGGAAGTAAATAATGTAAATCTAGGCTGTTGAGTCTGTCAACAGACGACAGAAAGAAAGCAGACAATTTACAAGGTCACAATACACAAACATTTCAACGACTACTGTTGTTAAGACAGTCTAAACAACAACAACAACAGACACTCAAAAAGGCAGACAATACAGTGGTACCTCTACTTACGAACGCCCCTACTTATGAATTCG